GGACCTGACCTAGGGAGGATTTTATACTGGGCTCATTTTTAGGAATTTGGAAGACACAACTTTAAAATTTGGTTTAATTCGGTTTTATAGGGGGGGATTGTATATATGCTTTGGTTTTAAATATGTTGTGCGCCGCCCTGAGTCCCGCAGGGAGAAGGGCGGCATATAAATTAAATTAAATAAATAAATAAATAAAATCTTCTTTTCCAGCCCCAGAGCCGAGGCCAACACCTTGAGTCCGCACCCTCTGGGGGGGGGCTCAAAGGGGCTGGCCAGGTTCCAATCGCCCACTCACTTCATGCACTTCTCTTGCGCCAGGAACTTCACCAAGCCCTCCTCGTCCGGCTCCTTCCACTCCAGCACCACCTGGCCTGGATCCGTCACCTCCGGCTGCAGAAAGAGCCGCCGTGTCTCCTCCAGGCACCAGCCGTCCGGCATCGGGTGGCTCTGCGGGGGGGGGGGGGGAGGAGAAGAAATCCTGAGCATCAGCAGCAGCCCTGCTCCAACGGCCCTGGGCCTGTGAGTGCGCCACCTAGGCCTTGCCGGGAGAGGCAGACGGCCCACGGGGCCTTTTCCAGGCTGGCCTCGCGGCAGGACCCTTCCCCGGGGGAACGTTCCAATACAGGAAGTTCTCCATTTACATCCGTTCATTTGCAGGGGCAGTCAACCTTGGCTCTTTTATGACTGGTGGACTTCAACTCCCAGAATTCCTGAGCCAGCATGGGGGAACCATAGTCCCCTTGATGACTCGTGGACTTCAACTCCCAGAATTCCTGAGCCAGCATGGCTCAGCTTGGAAACCTCTCCCTTTCCCCTCAGCGTGGCTGGCTCGGGAATTCTGGGAGTTGAAGTCCACCAGTCATAAAAGCCCAGGTTGCCTACCCCTGTACTAGGCCTAGGCCCCTTCATGACTCGTGGACTTCAACTCCCAGAATTCCTGAGCCAGCATGGGGGAACTATGACCCCCCTCATGACTCGTGGACTTCAACTCCCAGAATTCCTGAGCCAGCATGGCTCAGCTTGGAAACCTCTCCCTTTCCCCTCAGCATGGCTGGCTCAGGAATTCTGGGAGTTGAAGTCCACCAGTCATAAAAGAGCCAAGGTGGCCTACCCCTGATTTAGAGGTTACAACAGGACTGAAAAAGGCAACAGGACCCTTTTTCGGAGTTACGACCGTGGCAGGTGATCCAAATTTGGAGTTATGCCTTTTGCAGGTGATCCAAATTAGGACGCTTGGCAACTGGCTCGTGTTTATGACGGTTTACGACCTTCCTGGCGAGCAAGGCCAAGATTCCCTTAACAACCATGTCCCCAACTTGACTGCAGGGATTCGCCTCAGAACGGTGGCAAGAGAAGTCGTAAAGTGAGGCAACGTGCGCTGGACAAACGCTTCCCCTTGGCAAAGGAAATCTGGGGCTCCATTTTGGCCGTAACTCAAGGACTACCTGTGCTGCTATGCGCTGCCACGTTGGGTCCAACCCATTTCAAGCCCCTAAAACAGGGGTCCTCCACCTTGGCCACTTGAAGACTTGTGGACTTCAACTCCCAGAATTCCCATCCCAAAACTGCAAGACTTGCCAGGGGGTAAGTCCTCAAGAAACCTACAGGGTGTAATTCTGAATAGGCAGGTAGGCCGTGTCCATAGAATACCTGTCACTCAGGGCATTGTCCTTAGGAATCCTGCAATAATTCTTCTTATAGACCAGGGGTAGTCAACCTTGGCTCTTTTATGACTCGTGGACTTCAACTCCCAGAATTCCTGAGCCAGCTGGCTCAGGAATTCTGGGAGTTGAAGTCCACGAGTCATAAAAGAGCCAAGGTTGACTGCCCCTGTTATAGACTAAGACCAGACTCCACTTTTCCCTCTGTGCTCCCTACTCCCTCCCCTCCATCTTTTAATTCATTGTGCTGTGTTTTCATTATTTTATTCTTATTGTTTCATTGCTTTATTATTATTTTGACATTTTTAAAATCATTTTACATCCCACTGTGGTGGTAAGACTCCCAAAGTAGTCTCACAGTGAGAGATGCGTGACAAATAAATTTAATAATAACAGTAAATAAAATGTGACCTGTGGCAGGATCTCCAGGGATCTAGAAAAGGAGAGAAGCAACCTGGAACTAAGGAGAAACTTCCTGACAGTTAGAACAATTAGCCAGTGGAACAACCTGCCTCCAGAAGCGGTGAATGCACCAACACTGGGAGTTTTTAAGAAGAGACTGGACAGCCATTTGTCTGAAATGGGTATAGGGTTTCCAGCCTGAGCAGGGGGTTGGACTAGATGACCAATTATTGTTGTTGTTGTTGTTGTTGTTATTAATAATAAATAATAATAATAATAATAATAATAATAATAATAATAATAATAATAATAATAATTATTATTATTATCATTATCATCATCATCAGGGGACTGGAAGCTAAAAGATACAAGGAAAGGCTGCTGGAATTGGGTCTGTCTAGTTTAATGAAGAGAAGGACGAGGGGGGACAGGACAGCAGTCTTCCAATCTCTCAGGGGCTGCCCCAAAGAAGAGGGAGTCAAGCTATTCTCCAAAGCGCCTGAAGGCAGGACAAGAAGCAATGGATGGAAACTAATCAAGGAGAGAAGCAACTTAGAACTAAGGAGAAACTTCCTGACAATGAGAACAATTAACCAGTGGAACAGCCTGCCTCCAGAAGTGGTGAATGCTCCAACACTGGAAATTTTTAAGAAGGGACAGGACAGCCATTTGTCCGAAATGGTATAGGGTTTCCTGCCTGAGCAGGGGATTGGACTAGATCACCTCCAGGGTCCCTTCCAACTTTATTGTTGTTGTTGTTGTTGTTGTTGTTGTTGTTGTTGTTGTTATTATTATTATTATTATTATTATTAAATGTTCTCTAGCTTCTTTCGCCTCAATTCCCATATTACCTAAGTTGGGTAATTAAAGGTCTGCAAGAAAACAACCAAGCTGAACAAGTACCAAGGACCCCTCATTTCATTTCAACCCTGGGCTACAACAAATATTCTCCTTTATCGAGTTCATGGTAAACTGCAGAGTAGCAACACCAGATTTTGTGCCAAATGTAGATGAGCCGCTATAAGGCCTGGCTGGGCATGAGAGCCGTTTGTGGGACGGGGTGCAATGGAAAAAATAAGACAAAGGAAGGAGAAACCTCAAAATGGAGACACCAAGTCCCCCTCCCCTTTCCCTTCCCCTTGTCCTAGATCTCCCTCTTTTCCCTAATCCCATCAAAGCTGGGCATTCAGACCCATCAGCCATCAACAGGCCTCTAGAGATAAAACCACAATTTACAAGCCATTCAAGAGACTATAACAACATTAGGGAGGAAACAAACAAACAAAAATGCACAGTAGCCAAAACCCAGATAAGCAGGGATTAACCCTGAGGGTGTTACCTGGTCAGGTAAATGCAAGCAAATTGCCAAAGTCTTCAGAGCACCAAGCACTTATTTCATTGACCCCCCCAACCCCCAACCGCGCGTTTCCTCCTGGGGGGGGCAGCTTTGTGGCTTTTCTCAATTGTCAGTTAAGGCTTTATTTACACCTACCAGGATCTGTTTAGTCTAAACTGCAAAGCAAATCAGACCTTCAGATTTTTCCTCTCTTCAGCTCCCAGGTTCCCCAAAATATAGGAGCATCGTTGTTCGGGATTCTGGTAAAGTAGGGACCCTACCACTAGTAGTTTGCGATCTACCTCCTCGGAGTCTACGCTAACCTTTCAAGGTCGCCTAGGACAAGGGGTTTAGGAGATGGAGGAGGGCAATGGGGGACGCTCCTGTTGATTTGTAGGGCAGCCTTAACATTTCTGCCCAAGGAGAAATTTTCCTGACAGCTAGAACAATTAACCAGTGGAACGGCTTGCCACCAGAAGTTGTGGGTGCTTCATCACTGGAATTTTTAAGAAGAGACTGGATAGCCATTTGTGTATAATGGTATAAGGCATGGGTAGGCAACCTTGGCTCTTTTAGAAATCTGGGAGTTGAAGTCCACGAGTCATAAAAGAGCCAAGGTTGCCTACTCCTGGTATAGGGTCTCCTGCTTGAGCAGGGGGTTGGACTAGAAGACCTCCAAGGTCCCTTCCAACTCTGTTATTTCGTTTACAAGACTTGCCAAGCCTTGGGAGAGTGTTCCTTTTCACATGTTAGGTCAAACCGAACAGCTTACGCCAGGCTAGCAAACGCCAGTGAGTTTATCCTGTCTACCTACATATTTATAGGTGGATGCCTTCCAGGCAGTCATGACTCCTGGATATTACATGAATAACTGCCTGGATTTTTGTGGCCAAGTTCTCACACATAGTTGTTCCTTGCCTCCTTCTTCCTAGGGCTGAGAGAAAGGGACTGAGCCAAGTTAGCCAGCTGGCTTCAGGCCAAAGGCAGGACTAGAACTCAGAGTCTCCTAAAGACTAGACCAGGAGTAGGCAACCTGGGCTCTTTTATTACTCGTGGACTTCAACTCCCAGAATTCCTGAGCCAGCCATGCTGAGGGGAAAGGGAGAGGTTTCCAAGCTGAGCCATGCTGGCTGAGGAATTCTGGGAGTTGAAGTCCACCAGTCATGAGGGGGCCATAGTTCCCCCATGCTGGCTCAGAAATTCTGGGAGTTGAAGCCCACCAGTCATGAGGGGGGCCACAGTTCCCCCATGCTGTCTCAGGAATTCTGGGAGTTGAAGTCCACCAGTCATGAAGGGAGCCATAGTTCCCCCATGCTGGCTCAGGAATTCTGGGAGTTGAAGTCCACGAGTCATGAAGGGGCCACAGTTCCCCCATGCTGTCTCAGGAATTTTGGGAGTTGAAGTCCACGAGTCGTAAAAGAGCCAAGGTTGCCTACCCCTGGGCTAGCCCAAAGCCTCTAAAAGCTGACACCAGACTGGTTCTCTCTGCTGAGATAGTTCTTTTACAAAATTTTTCCATTTATCTGAGGCGTGTAAAGCATCCAATGCCCGTTAGAAAGGGCACGGAGAAGAGCTACATATAATAAAGGGTTTGGAAGTCAAATTGTATAATGAACGGTTGAGGGAGCTAGCTATATTTAGCTTAATAAAGAGAAAGAGTAGGGCTGACAGGATAGCAGTATTCCAGTATTCCAGCTGTGAATGCTCCAACACTGGAAGTTTTTAAGAAGAGACTGGACAGCCATTTGTCCGAAATGGTGTTAGGTTTTCCTGCCTGAGCAGGGGATTGGACTAGATGACCTCCAAGGTCCCTTCCACCCATATGATTCTATGATGATGATTCTACACACAAATGTCATGGCTGAGATTGACCTATTTAAGACCAGGCAGGACACACAAGGCTGAAGTCCTTGGCAGCTTTTCCTTACTGACCACGCGCCTGGGCTTTTATAATGGGGCTTTCCTACAGACCTAAATGTCTCTGGAGGTTCTCAGTCATCCGGGTCACGCCTGTCCCAAAGGGGCTTCCTCCCAAAGCAGCTGGGGTCTGGGCAGGGCAGAGGCTGCCTGCATGCAGAGGGCCCAGAGTGGGATGGAGGGCAGGGGCGAGGCCGGCTGGCGGGTCGGGTACCTGGCGACTGGTATTCCGCAGGATCTCCTCGATGCTTCCGTGATGCTGCAGCAGCTTCAGGGCCTTCTTGGGGCCCCATCCTCGGATCTTGTTGCAGTAGTCGCAGCCCAGCAGAATGCAGAGGTCCACAAACTGGGGCCGGCCGAGAGAGAGAGAGAGAGAGAGAGAGAGAGAGAGCAGAGAGAATGGGGTGCCGCTGGGCGAAAGGAAACGCAAAAGAGGGCTCCTCCACCCACCCAGATAATAATAATGATGATGATGATGATGATGATGATGATAATAATAATAATAATAATAATAATAATAATAATAATAATAATAATAATAATAAAGTTGGAAGGGATCTTGGAGGTCATCTAGTCCAACCCCCTGCTCAGGCAGGAAACCCTATACTATTTCAGACAAACGGCTGTCCAGTCTCTTTTTCAAAACTTCATGTGTTGGAGCATTCACCGCTTCTGGAGGCAGGTGGTTCCACTGGTTAATTGTTCTAACTGTCAGGAAGTTTCTCCTTAGTTCTAGGTTGCTTCTCTCTTTGATTAGTTTCCATCCGTTGCTTCTTGTCCTGCCTTCAGGCGCTTTGGAGAATAGCTTGACTCCCTCTTCTTTGGGGCAGCCCCTGAGATACTGGAAGGCTGCTATCCTGTCCCCCATCGTCCTCCTCTTCGTTAAACTAGACATCCCCAATTCCAGCAACCGTTCCTTGTATGTTTTAGCCTCTAGTCCCCTAATCATCTTTGTTGCTCTTCTCTGATGATGTTGGGACCTTGGAGGTCATCTAGTCCAACCCCCTGCTCAGGCAGTTGTTGTTGTTATTATCATTATTTATTATTGTTAATATTATTGTTAATATTAATATTGTTAATATTATTAATATAGATGTTCTGGAAATCTGGAGGGAAAGCCAGAGGGCAAGGATGCTGCAGAGGAAGGCCTCCAAGCTGAAGCCGGGCAGCCATGCTCAATTGAAGGAATAAACTAGCCAGATGGCACAAAAAATGATCTGAGGGACCCTCTCTCTTTTCCCAGTCACAGCCCCCCGACCCACCAGAGCGGGGGAAGCAGGGAATGTCGCGGGTCCCGTCCCTCCCTCATCCTTGCAGAGATTATACTGGCCACCATTTTGACCCTCTTTCGCAAGGCCCCCAAGATAGATAGATAGATAGATAGATAGATAGATTAGATAGATAGATAGATAGATAGATAGATAGATAGATTAGATAGATTAGATAGATAGATAGATAGATAGATAGATAGATAGATAGATTAGATAGATTAGATAGATAGATAGATAGATAGATAGATTAGATAGATTAGATAGATAGATAGATAGATAGATAGATAGATAGATTAGATAGATTAGATAGATAGATAGATAGATAGATAGATAGATAGATAGATAGACAGACAGATAGATAGGGATGGATAGATAGGTAGGTAGGTAGGTAGGTAGGTAGATAGATGATAGATAGATAGATAGATAGAGATGGATGGAGATAGATGGATAGATAGATAGATAGAAGGATAGATAGATAGAGAGACAGAGACAGATAGATAGGGATGGATAGATAGGTAGGTAGGTAGGTAGGTAGATAGATGATAGATAGATAGATAGATAGATAGATAGAGATGGATGGAGATAGATGGATAGATAGATAGATAGATAGATAGATTAGATAGATAGATAGATAGATAGATAGATAGATTAGATAGATAGATAGATTAGATAGATAGATAGATAGATAGATAGATAGATAGATAGATAGATAGACAGACAGACAGATAGATAGGGATGGATAGATAGGTAGGTAGGTAGGTAGGTAGGTAGGTAGGTAGATAGATGATAGATAGATAGATAGATAGAGATGGATGGAGATAGATGGATAGATAGATAGATAGATAGATAGATAGATAGATAGATAGATATGGGTAGATGGACGGACGGATGGATGATGACAGACAGACAAATCGATCAGAGAATCCTAGTGCTGGAAGGGACCTTGGAGGTCTTCTAGTCCAACCCTCTGTCCAAGGCAAGATGCCTTATAACATCCCAGTCAAACGGTTGTCCAGTCTATTTTTGAAGAACACCACTCACTGAGCACCCAGCCCCCTAACTATTCCACTAACTGTTTCCCAGACTGAACTGCAGTCCAGTGTCTTGGAAGGGGGGGGGTGTCTATCTCTTGGGAATGCTGAAGGATCCCCAGTTCTGCTCGGCTTCCAAATCCAGACAAGGATGGTGGGCAAAGGCCGAAATGCTGGGGGCCAAATCCAGGCCGGTTCCCCGCGCTTGGGACTTCCCCTCACCTGTTCCTGGGTCATCCCCAGCTTCTGCAGGACGGTGGGTAAGGAGATCTCTTCCAGACGGCTGGACAAAAAAACAAACAAACCAAAAAACAATGGGGATGAATTAATTAATCTAATTAATTAAAAAAGCTAATTGAGATTTTAATTTTAGAAAAACTATCTGTGGCATTCCATGGCCTTTGGCATAGAGCAAACGTGGCCCTTTGATGACTTGTGGACTTCAACTCCCAGAATTCCTCAGCCAGGCACATGTGAATCAGAGCTATGCCAGGCACTGTGAATTGGAGTTGAACAGCGCCCCCT